CCGCTGCCCGCCTCCCATGGAGCTACTCGCCGCGCTGCTTCTCCTGCAGGTAGGTGAGGCGCGGGGGCGCGGGCGCCGCGCTCCCTTCCCGCGGGGACGAGGGCTCCGGCCGCCGCGGGGTGCCTCCGAGCAAGGGCGGCCCCTCTGTCCCCAGGTACCGGGCTCGGACCTCGTGGAAGGGGGTTTCCAGGAGCGGGGGCCTTCTGCTCCTCCTGCTAGGGACGCCAGGGCGTTGATGCCTGACAAGAGCGCACAGGTGCCTAGCGTCGGCTCTGCCGAATTAAGGATCCCCCGCAGCAACTCAGTGGCGTTCCCACGAGTGTTTCTGTGGGGTTCGTGGGCCTGAACTGGGTTGTTCCTTTCCAGGAGTGATATGGCGATGGCCTGAGCCATTGCTGTGCAACAGGTGCACGTGGAGGAGCGTGGAAGCCATAAAGTAGGCAGCTAGAGCTTCCAATATAATCAAAACTGGCTACACGTACACAAAGGGGAAAGCAGCTTGTCCGGGGCGTCCAGCACAGACAGTTTAATCAAGCTGGCAGAGCTGAACCTAGAACAAAGCTAATAAATACTACATGCGAGTGCCACATTAAAGCCTTCCTTGCTGTTTCTACATCACAGGGGTTTTCCCTGGGTTATACAACAACTTTACAGGATAGTCCCAAAGCATTACCGGTGAGCCCCATCGCTTGGCAAGTCTGTAACCGTGGCAATTGTATTAAGTATTTTGTTTCTTCAAAAAAAGGTCACCGGGTAAAGGCCCAACCTCTGCCCAAGTCTAGGCAGGAAGAGGTCTGTTTCATTTTTTAAATGCCACTGGAAACATTTGACAGAATGAGTCATAAAACCCCAAGCTTTCCAATGAAAGCAGTGAGAACTAGGAGGAAGGTCTACAAGTTACCTGTGAGCTAGTGGCAATAGTGTAATTTGAGTACTGTCATACTCCTTTGAGGTGAAAGATTTCAAGTAAAAAGCAGCGTTTGAAGCTGGTGCAGGAAGCTGGTGCTTATAAAAGGGCAGATCCTGCCAGTTAGGGTGCAGTGACCATTCTCAACAATTTATCTTACCCATCTGGATTAGAGACTTTGGTCCAGTGTTCACCTTCTGGTAAATCAGCTATGTTTGGAACACTTGGAGCCACATGACAGTCTCTGAGAACCTGAAATACTCCCCAGACTTAACTTTTTTCCAGTAGTAGGTTTATGTCCTGTCAGTACCAGGCAACTTTGGAAGGAGCACTAGACACAGAGAGACAGAGGCGAGCATTTTAAAAACTGGAGATACTTGGTTTGAGAAAAGCCATAGAGATAATACCATGGACTGCTAGACACAGTGTTTGCATGTTTCTGGGACTGGCATCACCCGACCAGGGAAATTAGTATCCAAGCTCTCATGCCAATTCATTTGGAATGAGATGGATGATATTTGTGGATGATATTTCCAGGGTTAGACACAATTTAATACAATGCTGTCAAAGCTGGATCAATATGTTTCTGTGAAGCCAAATTCCTCCTAGACAACATATCAATGGTTTCTAGTTAACCACACTTCTCACAATCACCTTTTTTTTTTCCCACAAGGTTACTGCTGCCAACAGTTTTTCTCATGAAATTGAAAATTCCCGTTTAAGACAAGCCATCCGAAAGAGGAGTATTCAGGTTTGTGGTCAATATTATATAGTAACAGATACACAACCATTAATATGTAAACTATGACACTAAATACACTTCTTTATCCAATAGTGGATAGATTCTTATCAGTTAGACAGCCTACGTCCTCTACAGCTTGCAAAAAGGGCCTGGGTTGTCACCACCATTGACGTTCAAGAGGAGGACAAAGGACCATTCCCAAAATATGCTGGACAGGTACAAACAACCTTTTAGTAAACGTTCTTCTTGAACCTCAGTAAGGTATTCATCACCACAGATTGTACAATAAAATACCAAAGGTAGGAGAGGGCAAGAACTTGTGCATCGAACAGCAACTTTTAAAAAAACTTACTTGTTCAAAGTTGTCTTATTTACACAGAGTTGGGTAGAATTGTGTGGTGGTGGGGGTATACTGCTCGTTTCTATGGGAAGCTGCAGGCATACTCAGGGGAAAGAAGACTATAGAGCGGGAGAGGTAAGAGAGTCATTGCACAGAGCTGTGTACCTGCACATTGTGCAGAGAGTAGTGATGCTGCAATGCAGAAAGCTGTTGGGTTGGCTGAGACCAAGCCTGCAAGCAAGACCCCACCTGCAAAGAGGTGGGCAGGAAGACAATGGGTCTAAAGTCTTTTTAATTTCTGTTCCATCTTCCCTACTCACACTGCATTGTGCTACTTCTCTTTTCAAAAGCTGTTCAATAACAAATCATCTAATACATCAGTAAAATATTTAATCAGTGGACCTGGGGTAGATGAATCTCCAGAGATTGGATTGTTTTCTATAGATGATGATGCAAACGGACATGTGTACATACATCGTACCATTGACAGAGAAAAGACCCCAACCTTTCAGGTAACACACTTTAAAAAACTACTTAAAACTGTTTGCAAATATTAATTGCTTTCTCATGGCTAAATGCTGCACAAGAATGAGACACACCTATAAGAATTTTAAGTGTGTATTTTTATGACCTCCTTTTCTTATTTTGAACCTCTAAATAAATGCTAAGATGATTGTCTCAGCAGAGACCAATAGGTAACTTCCACATCACTATCGATTGTAAGTCTTTGTGGCATGTTTGGACTTCCACAAATATCTGTACACTTCTTTTCTATCTTCTTTTTTGGTATGACCCTTGATCATAATCTAAAAAATGAAAAGGTTGTCCTGAAATTCAAAGTATGTTACAGGTATAGTGGCCAGAACACTGAGTTGTAAACCCAAAAACTCCTAATCAAGAGAATGGAAGCAAATAGTTATTCATTACCAAAAAACAGATAACACTGGAGGAGCTGCAAAGCTGTATTACTGTAACTTTACATAAGAGTAAGCATATGTTTCTCCTTAGAAAGCAGAAAAGTGTTCATAAGCAGTAAGTGTAATGAAAGAAATGTGATAACAAGTGTATGAACGAAATACGCGAGTGTGCGTTTGTTTTCCTCTTGCAAAAAATCTTTAGTTGTGGTCTCCTTATGTTTATTCTGTGATGATTTCTATTTGTGTCTCTGTGGATTAACGGTACCCAATTGATAGTTACCATTCCACGTGGCTTTCTGTGCAAGGTCTTGCCTTCCATAATGAAAAGATAAATTTTGGAGAGCTTTCTATTCCCCCTCACTGGACACATGGCTGTTCCAGGCCAGACACTCTGGGCTTGATTTTAAAGCAGAAATAAGTGTAGCAAAGGAGAATTCAGCATTCAGAATTGAATCCCCTGCACATTCATGGATATGGAGCCAAAACATCATAGAAATGCAGCCAGAGAAAACTGAGTGTACTACTTAAATAAGTACTTCAGAGTTGGGAAGCACATGTGAAAGCATTCTTTTGTCTGGCCCCAAGGATATTTATGTATTTTATATTAGGCAGTCATTCCAAATAACCCAGATCCAGCTCCAGGTACTGATTTTTTTTAAAGTATTTTTTAATGCACAGGATGACCATTATGAATCTACTGCCTTTGAAAGGTGAAATAATGTCTTAGTGATGCAACTCAAAGCCAAATACTAGCCAAATATGACAGAAGCAGCTTCAAAATTGAAAGTTTTTTGTTCCATTCTGATATCTAAAGTAATACCGTTCATTCCATTCTGATATCTGTGTCGCTACTCATTTAGATACGTTTCGATATTGTGTACAGAAAAACTGGTGAACCATTGGACCGCCCTTTATTTTTCAAGATAAAAGTTAAAGATATTAATGACAACGCACCCAAGTTTCTCAAGGAGGAATATAGCGTTACAGTAAGAGAGAACCACAATAAAGGTCAGTGCCATCCAAACAAGGAATGCTACTGGTTTGTGTACGACTGCTCTCTTTTTCATTCTTTTGTCCTTCTTTTTCCTTTCTTACTAAATCTGTTCTTCTCCCTAGGTTTTACTTAAACACTCATGGGTTTAGGGACTAATTCCTGTGAAGGACTATTTCCTACCTCTTGATTTCTTGTCTGATTCACCTCAATGTACATTAGCATAACGTTGGAGCCATTCTGGAAAAACTCCTAAGATATTTCTTCTTAACTACAAGCCAAGACTTTAGCAGACTAATCTGAACTGTGGATCTGCAACCTGCACATGCACACTGCTTCACAGAAGATGGTCAGACACACTGTTTTAGAAATGCAAAGACTTAATCTGGGTGTGTAGGCATGCGGGCATGGTGCCAACTCCTCAGGAGGTGGCTGACAGCTGGCATAAATGACTAGTGAATGTTTTTGATAAAGTAAATTCAGGAGTGTGGTAACTCTCTCTATTGTCTAGCAGTACTTTAGGCAGATTTGCCACCCAAATGAGGTGGCGGCCAGAGTCTTTGCAGGGATAACCATAGCCACAGGAGAAGTTATAGGTTTTTTTAGGACTTGTGTGTTCAAGAGCCTGCAGACAGGCATGAGAAACTGCACGTCGAGACTAAACACTTCTGTTAATGTCTCAATTCTTCATCCTAGATGAGCCAGTTTTCCAAGTTACTGCCTCGGACAAAGATGAAGACGGCACTGCCAATTCTCAGGTGTCCTATTCTCTAATTATGCAAATGCCCCTTCCAGATGGATTCACATTTAATATTGATCCTACCACAGGATCAATACTTCTGTCAGGATGCCTGGATTATAAGGTGATGTACATATGGCAGCTTCTTATCATTTAATGCGTGATACATGTTCACTACACGTTAACCAGGTGTAAGGGGAAGGAGAGTCTCACATCCAGCTTTGTAGCTGTGACTGGCAAAATGCGGGAACTGCTTCTGAACTAAGTTTGGAACTTCCTTCTGTTTTTCAGATTGCCAACTCTTTCAAACTTCTGATTAAAGCCAGTGACCATGGAACTCCCCAGCTGTCATCTACTGCCACAGTGAATGTAGCTGTTGAAGATGCAAACAACCACTTCCCTGTATTTACTAGTGATAATGTGAGGAAAAACATTATTACTTTACTGAGCCTTTCTAAATACAGTTCAGTCCTTCAAACTGCTAAATACGCTCAGCAGTGGAAATGGAAACCCTCAGACACTTGCAGAATCAGGCCAAAACATGTGCAAATGAGCTTTATGTGTTAGAAGAAATATGTCTTAAAAATGTGGACAGCAAGAGAATGCTTGACTATTGACAGTGATAAACTTTGTTAGTTTTCTGTTTACAGCACTGGAAGATTTTTGTCTTGTGTAAGGATGCTGACAGACTAGAGTATTCTAACACCGGAGAAGCTAAGGTGCTGATTACAATCTACTCTTGAAAGATCCTACTTTTGATCGATGAAGACCTCAATGGCCCTAATCCTGCCTGCCTACAAACTCAGTACATCTTAATGGGGCAGTTAGGTGTGGTAGCAACGCTTCTGCTGTCATATTCTGTGAGGGTGCTTGTAGAGCATTTGCTGTATGAATGTGTCCTGGTTTCAGCAGGGATAGAGTTAATTTCCTTCCTAGTAGCTGGTGCAGTGCTGTGTTTTGGATTTAGGATGGGAACAAAATTGATAAGGCACCGATGTTTTAGTTGTTGCTAGGTAGTGCTTACACTGGCCAAGGACTTTCTAGTTTTTCATGCTCTACCGACTGATGCACAGGGAGCTGGGAGGGGGCACAGCCAAACTGGCCAAAGGGACATTCCATACCATGTGACGTCATGCTCAGTACATAAACTGGGGGAAGCTGGCCGGGGGGGCCGCTGCTCGGGGACTGGCTGGGCATCGGTCGGCGGGTGGTGAGCAATTGTACTGTGCATCACTTG